GATTTGCCACAAAATAATACTGTCAGGATGAGCGTTAGTGTTTCTGTTATCAAGATGAAATGCAGTGACAGTTTTTTGTGGAGGCTTGGCTTGAGCCAAGGTCATCCGCGTAGGAAAATGTATTACTCAATGGGGGCATGCTGTTTGTGTAGACGCTGAAGATCCTCTTTGCGAGTACTGGATCCTGTGGCAACACCATAATTGGGGAAATGAGGCGAGGTGAGTTTGTCACCCCAATGGACACGTAGCTCCCCCCTCTATTCCTAAGCATCGTCCATAGCAGGGATAATGTTTTGATGCAGGGAATGATCCTTACAAGCTTCAGCATCAGGCCTTGAATCCAGACCATGTTGTAAGCTGAAGACGGTTATACAAAGGCTAATACAATCTTGATTTGAAGTTTTCATGACTGCAGGGATCCATACTCTTTGGTTCTTTCGGTAAAGTCACTTAGGTATAAAATAAAATACATTAAATCATGACGTTTCGGGCGCAACACAAGCATTCGTCTTCAGGTGGGACAATCACAGCAAGAAACAATTGCTGAAGTGGGCAACAGAGGTGCTTGTATCAAGAGGCTATATAGGTAAGAGAGGGGGGGGGGCAGAGCCAGGGAGGAGAGATAGAAAGGTTGGGGTGTGGGGTAGGGGGGAATGGGGTGCTGAGACAAATGCCGGGGCTGGCAAGTAAGCGGGGCTGGGGGGTAGGAAGAATGGGGTGCTGCACGACGAAAGCCGAGGCTGGGAAGTACCAATAAAGCCAACAACCCCAATGCAGCAGCAATGCCAAACGCTAAGAATGCAATTAACTCGGCAAAATAGACAAGTGCCCGGTAAATATGATGGAACAACCATAAAGTATTTAAGGTTTTACCTGGTTAATAACATCCTTCCAATGATCTTCTTGGTTCTTTCGGTAAAGTCACGTAGAATGGAAATAATAAAATAATAAAAATTTCTACATTATAAAATAATTCTCACAAAGTTTTAGCCACAACACAAGCAGCCGTCCTCAGGTGAAGAACAGGTCTGTCGGGAAGACAGCGTCTGAATGAAACACCCCAGGCTTGGAGCGTATATTTAAGCTGGGTTGGAGGGGGAAGAGCGCCTTGACAAAAGAATTTGCATATCAAGAGGAATTTAGCATATTTATGGGAAATGCAGATATGGGATTAGTACTACTTGTGAAATGCGTAGGAGGTGGTCGGGGGGTTTCAAAGTCATTATGCCCGTGCATTATGCAGGATTAGCAGCATCAAAGGGAGGGGATGGGGTAGCATTAATAAAGGGAAGGAATGTTAATAGTATGTAGCTGCAGTAACTAAACCACCACGTAAAAAACTAAAGTATAAACTACATAGTATCATCAGTATACTAAATAGACTCTCCAATAAGCTGAGCTACTAACAGTAAGTAATACATTACAATTCTACGTCGCAAAAAATATAATATGCTTCCAGCTAAACTTTTTCTCTTACATCACACGGGTCTACCCCGTACTATATACTGCCATAGACAAACCCAACATTAAATTACATACTGTATTACTATACACCACCCTATACCTTCGACTATACATTGTAATATTACACTATGTATTATTCTACCCACCCTACTGTATATCACACTGCTGTATATTCACTATACAATTACGATACTATATATTACCTTATACATTGTATTAAACATTACAATTTTATACTATTTATTATTATACAATCTGCTATACACTATACCATTGACCGTCGCGTGAAAGATACTAAGAGGAAGCAACGAAATATGTCAATGGGAGAGTAGTGGTAGGAGACTTGCAGCGGAGCAAAGAATCCATTCCCTGCGGAGAATACAAGATATATAGTCAATGCCAGTGAGTGGACTGCGGTCTGAAAGTCACCGTAAACGTGAACACAATCAGTTAAGATCCGAAATGGTTTATTACGTCCTTCCAATGATTGCTCAGCCAGAATCCATCTTCTCGGTTGAAATTGTCTCTGTGTTTGTATATGTGGATCGCCTCATGAACGAATCTCTCATGGTAGCCAGATGGCTTGCAGAGAACCTCTGTCTTGGAGAAGTCAATATCATGTGAGCCCACTGAATTGTAACAGTGATCTGCCACGGCTGAGGTGTTTGTCCTACCATGTTTCAAGTCTGCTTTATGTTCACGGATGCGGTCCGAGACATGTCGTTTGGTTTCTCCAATGTAACTGCTACCACAGAGGAAACTTAGTTTGTAGACGCCAGGGTACTATATGTCTGGAACCACATCTTTTACAGACGCGACCAGATCACGGATTTTATGTACTGTCTTCTTGGTTCTTTCGGTAAAGTCACGTAGAAGGGAAGTAATAAAATAATAAAAAAATAAGACACCATCGCAATCATTGAAGACTTGGTTCATCAAGGACTGATTACTGGGGTACCCCCCCTGGTGAGACACTGCTTAACCAATACATACTTCACCTGGAATGGAACTTTCTACAAACAGAGGGCACTCCAATGGGCTCCCCCCTATCTCCGGTTGTAGCCAACGTTTTCATGGAGAAATTTGAGACTGACGCCATCCAGACTGCCACTCTGCGCCCGACCTTATGGAAGAGGTACGTAGATGACACTTTTGTCATCTGGCCACATGGCCGGCCTGCTCTAGACCAATTCCTCGACCACATCAATTCCATACACCCAACCATCAGATTCACCATGGAAGTCGAGAAAGATGGCAAGCTACCCTTTTTGGATGTCCTAATTAAAAGGAGACCTGATGGTTCAATGAGCCACTCTGTCTACAGGAAAGCCACCAGTGGGCTCACGTGATAATGACTTCTCCAAGACAGAGGTTCTCTGCAAGCCATCTGGCTACCATGAGAGATTCGTTCACGAGGCGATCCACATATACAAACACAGAGACAATTTCAACCGAGAAGATAGATTCTGGCTCAGCAATCATTGGAAGGACGTAATAAACAATTTCGGATCTTAACTGATTGTGTTCACGTTTACGGTGACTTTCAGACCGCAGTCCACTCACTGGCATTGACTATATATCTTGTATTCTCCGCAGGGAATGGATTCTTTGCTCCGCTGCAAGTCTCCTACCACTACTCTCCCATTGACATATTTCGTTGCTTCCTCTTAGTATCTTTCACGCGACGGTCAATGATATAGTGTATAGCAGATTGTATAATAATAAATAGTATAAAATTGTAATGTTTAATACAATGTATAAGGTAATATATAGTATCGTAATTGTATAGTGAATATACAGCAGTGTGATATACAGTAGGGTGGGTAGAATAATACATAGTGTAATATTACAATGTATAGTCGAAGGTATAGGGTGGTATATAGTAATACAGTATATAATTTAATGTTGGGTTTGTCTATGGCAGTATATAGTATGGGGTAGACCCGTGTGATGAAAGAGAAAAAAGTTTAGCTGGAAGCATATTATATTTTTTGCGACATAGAATTGTAATGTATTACTTACTGTTAATAGCTCAGCTTATTGGAGAGTCTATTTAGTATACTGATGATACTATGTAGTTTATACTTTAGTTTTTTACGTGGTGGTTTAGTTACTGCAGCTACATACTATTAACATTCCTTCCCTTTATTAATGCTACCCCTATCCCCTCCCTTTGATGCTGCTAATCCTGCATAATACACGGGCATATGACTTTGAAACCCCCCGCCCACCTACTACGCATTTCACAAGTAGTACTAATCCCATATCTGCATTTCCCATAAATATGCTAAATTCCTCTTCATATGCAAATTGTTTTGTCAAGGCGCTCTTCCCCCTCCAACCCAGATTAAATATACGCTCCAAGCCTGGGGTGTTTCATTCTGACACTGTCTTCCCGACAGACCTGTTCTTCACCTGAGGACGGCTGCTTGCGTTGTGGCCAAAACGTCGTGAGAATTATTTTATTATGTTTAATTTATTTTATTTTATTATTTCCATTCTACGTGACTTTACCGAAAGAACCAAGAAGATGAATCCCTGCAGTCACGAAAGCCAGTGAAGTTATTGAAGGAGAGGAGAGCAGTGAGATGTGAATGAAAGGTTGAGTACAGTCCGTGCAGATGCGTTTTGGATGTGTTGGAGAGAGATAAAGGCGTAAGCAGGGAGACCGACCAGGAGTGAGTTGCAGTAATCCAGACGAGTGAAGACAAGGGAGTGTGGTAGTGATGAGTGGGCGGATTTTCCTGATGTTGTACAGATGGTAACGCCATGTGCGAGTGGTGTTTGTAATGTGAAAAATGAAGGAGAGAGTGGAATCGAAGGTAACACCGAGAGTGAGTGTGGTAGAGTTTGGGAAGAGGCTAATGGGGGGGGGGGGTAAAGAAATGAGGGGTGCAGGAAGGGTTGAGCGAGAGGATTGAAATAAAAGCATCGAAGTTTTGGAAGGATTTAGGGAAGGGAAATTTTCGGTCATCCAGGCTTGCATGGCTGTCAGGCAGGATGAGATGCCTTAACAGACTGTTGGGGCAAGTGTTGTTAGTGAGCACCTATGAAGGCTGGTACGGTGCACAAGGGGGTAGAGGTGGCCAGCACCAAGTCCGGCTGCCATTGTCTCCCAAGTGGTGATGTTTACACACTCCACCACGTACTTATTTGAGGCTGAGTCGAACGAGGAGAGGCCCAGAACTGGTTCAGATAATCGCCTCACTGATGTTGGCCATGAGCAGGAATCGAATTCGAGTTGCCAGTTTAGTAGTGCAAAGTGTTATCCGCTACACTACCAGTACACAAAACTTAAAACACACTGATACGCAAAACTTCCTGCAAGGTACAAGTCGTGTCCCAGCAGTATGGCCTAGGTTAGTGGACATGGCCTAGTGAAGCGGACGTCACCCCATTAGGGGCAGCATGAACACATTTTATTTCAACAATGAAGGTCAAGCGGGACCTCAAGCAATAGCCTTTAGAAGTAGGAGTCCTGGAAGAATGGTCACAAGTGTAATCATGGTCCAGCCTACCACTGGGGGGGGCCTCACCGTTGTTGTTGGCGCATGCCGCTCCACCCAGCTCTCTGCACTGTCTCTGTTGTAGTCCTGTCGCCACCCAGTTTTGGCCATGGCAGCACAAGAAGCAGCAGCAGCACCACGTCGGGATTTAACTTTGCTTGCAACTGGTATGTGTGGTCTAAGGCTTGAGATTGTATCTCTACAACCACTGGCCTTTGACAGGTCTCCACCGATACCTTCAAAGGATGACTGCACCCATGGCGGATCCATCTGTGCAGAGGAAATATGGAAAGGTTTGATCACAAATTAAATTACAACTGTGCTATCAAAAGATGGCATGTGGCTATAAAAACATCTTTGAAACTCAGTCAAAAAATCTCAAATCACTTCAGAAACCCAGATTGATCCCTTTATTCTGGAGTTAGGCTAATAAACTTAATAAGTGTACAGGTGAGTGTACAGGTCATGGTAGAAGTGAGAGAGTCTACAGGCAAGTGAAAGTACAGGTGAGTATAACATCAATAACAACAAACACAGCTGTGTGGAATTACCGAAGATCAACCTCAAAGCTAAGCTCTTTAATACAATATGTGTTTTACATTTGTAATGAAATCTACGAGGGAGACAGGTAAGTATTAACCCTTTTTATTTCTCTCTTCAGCTTCGCTTCACGCAGCCATCTCCATGCTCTCTCTCCCCGCGACTCCCGCTATTTTCCTCGCCCGGCCTCTTTCATCCTGCTCTCTCCTCCTCCAATCATGTCCCCCGTAAGGACCTTTCCTAGAGCGCGCCATGCTGCCAGCGGCTCATTCTCCAATGAGAGAGCTGCGAGACTCTGCTGACAGCTATGTACTTCTTCTCTCTTCCGAATTATCGCAGCGTGCGGCCATGCGGCCAGCGGCTCATTCTCCAATGGGAGAACTGCGAGACTCTGCTGACAGCTATGTACTGCTTCTCTCTTCCGAATTATCACAGCCCTGAGTATCCTACATCACCTCACCAACCTGAAAAAAAAGTTGTCCTCAACGTAACAACCCCGCTGCGTGGCACCGGGACGAGCCCAATGTCCAGATACACCGCACCATTTGCCCAAATAAAGAAGGTGCCAGCACAAGTCATCCATGAACGCATCACCCTCAAATGTGCATGTGTGTCCCATCTCAGCATGCGGACGCACACCAGCAGCACACCCCTCCAAATGACAACCCGCGCTTGTGTAACACAACAACTGGAGAAAGGGCGAACAACATAAGCATACACAACCACAAATATTTTATATAAAACATTATTGACAATCCTGCAGGCATCTAAACACCCACAGTGTAATCCCGGTGAGGGAGGGGGGAACAAAAACACACAAGACAGCCAGGGTGACACAACGCACAGACTACAGCCTGTACAGGATGTCAACAGCAACCACATCGATAATTGTTTTTTTACCCTTTTATCTGGCAACAAAATTGACACCTTTTTTACAAGGAGTCATATTTGCATTGACCACAATACCTGCAGTCGGAATGCAAACAAAAAACACAACTCTGATAATGTATGCACTGTCCTTGAAATTGATTGGTCCACACCCAAGACAGCTTTTCTTAGAACCTAGTCTCACATGGTGTTGGACCAGATGACGCCAAGGACAGTGCATACATTATCAGAGTTGTGTTGTTTGTTTGCATTCCGACCGCAGGTATTGTGGCCAATGCAAACATGACTCCTTGTAAAAAATGTGTCAGTTTTGTTGCCAGATAAAAGGGTAAAAAAAGAATTATCATATTTTGCTACTGGAAAAGGAGGTTCCAATGGAGCAACCACATCCCCGTCAATGCATCAGCCTTGGGGAACCCTAAGGAGAATCATCCTGAACAATCCTCCCAGGTCCCTTCGTCGTGCCGCATCGTCGCCCCCCCCAATCACCGCAGGAGCATGCTCCGGACTTTTGCACAAGTGATAGGTGCCGGCAGCAGCATCCGAGGCTGATCCACCCCTCCCGTCACATGCGGCCCTGGGGGAGGAAGGCATCAGCCTTTAGTGGGGTCCCGTCGCAGCTGGCTGTCCCCCTGACCTCGCCAGTGACAGTGGAGGCGATGGAGCAGATAGGGGTGAATCTGTAGGTGTGAGTGGTGGCGTTGCGTGTGGTGGTGCGTCGGCCAGCAGTGGCATCTCAGTGATATGTCTCGACACGTCAGGCTTCAGCCGCGCAGGGTGTACATACCACTGGCATTAGCCCAATTGGACATGTATAAACTGGGGCTGAAGAGCTTCAACAATTTTGACAGGCCCCTGCCATGTCCCCAAGAAAACCTGGGGGTAATGCAACCAAGCCATTGTCCCCCACTGGAAAGGAAAAGCAGTAATGACGTTCTATCTAGTCTGTTCGTTCACAAAGTGAGCGGACGCCGCCGCCACTTGCACCGCCTCCCTTGTCGACTGTCACTGCTGCATTGAACGGCGTATCATCGTCGGCCACTTAGTTGCCCACTCGGGAGGTCAACCAGCTGATATCCAATGGGGGGGATCCGGGTCCTGCCCATACATTAAGAAAAATGGGGAGTATCCTGTGGAGGTATGAGGTGCCAACCGGTACACTGTGAGAACCCCCCGTAATGTGCAGGTACAAGTCGGTCTGACTTATCGACGACTTGGCACAAGATAGCAGTTATGGTGCAGATTAGGCGTTCCACCATCCCATAAGTCTGTGGGTGGTACGGTGATGTGAGCAACTTCTTCATACCCAAAATGTCGCACAGCTCCTGGACTGGTTTAGACAAAAAATTGCGGCCCTGATCCGTGAGCAATTTCTCCAGGGCACCCTTCTCCAGGAAAACCACCACAATAGACAGTCGTACGATTGGCGAGGGGCCATGCCAAAGGCCAACGGGTGAAATACCCAACACCCACGAGCAAAAATTTGTGACCCCAAGCAGTGCGAGGGAAGGGTCCTAAAATGTCAAGAGCCACCAGCTCATTCACCTGGGAGACAGCGATAGATTGCAATGGCACTGTCACAAGGCGAGCACATTCAGCACACGTGGCTATCTACGTGCGTACATCTGCTGACATGCCTGGCCAGAAGTAGTGACTTCTAAGCGTGGCGAGCGTCTTGCATTCACCCAAGTGCAGGAGACGGTGACAATGAACCTCCGCCACCAGTCCGTTCCCGTACGGATATAGGAACAACCAGCCAGTGACGCTGGGTGTCGAGTTCCCATCGCATAAGCAGGCCATTAACATTCGCAAATGACGCCGCAGCAAGAATCGACTTGGGGGGGCGAGAGTGAACCAGGGCACGAAACGACGCTAACATGTCATCTTCCATTTGCAACCGCAACAAATCCTCCCGGCTAAGCCCTATATCACAGTCCATCAACGTAGCCTTGGAGGAGCCTGCATGCGTGTCGATCGGCGTTACAAGGCTCGGCGTATCATTAGGAGCTGGCCTGCATCTACCAGACCCCCCAGAGCAAGTGCAAGCCGTCCTAGCTGGCAGGCCCGACAAGGCATCCTGCTTGGCGTAGCGCATCACTTTCCTGTGGACCACGTCATAAGAGATTTCCTGCAGGCACTCAATCCATCTGTCCATCTGGCCCGAAGGATGTTGATTGCCGAATGAAAACTGCAGCGCCGCATGGTCGGTCCTCTCCACAAATCGTTGGCCGTATAAGGGCGGAATCGGCAGACGAAATGTACAACTGTTAGGGGTTCCCGGCGCATGACGGAGTACCGCTGTTCAGCCGGTGACAGCACCCAACTGCCATAGGCGATCACGACTTTCCGGTCAGACTGGGCCTGCGATAACATGCCCCCAAACCGCATATCGCTGGCATCCGTGTCCAATATAAAAGGCAACTAAAAATCAGGCTAAGCCAGTGCCAGAATATCCATAAGAAACCCTCGCAAATTCCTAAAGGCCAAATCCTCCTCAGGACCCCAGTGAAACTTCTGACCCTTGGCAGTAAGCGCATGGAATGGCTTCGCAATGGCGGAAAAATCCAGTACAAAACGGCGATAGTATGACACAAATCAAACAAACCTCCGAACATCCGATACTGAGACGGGTGTGGGATCAGTCATGAACACAGTGAGTCTTGTCGGGGTATGTGGCCACACCTGCCATGCTGACGTGCCCCAAATATTTGACAGAGGACTGCGCTAGGTGGCACTTAGACAGTTTAAGCTTCAGGCTTGCCCCCTGAATGCTTGAAAAAACCAGTGCCAACTGCTGTAAATGTTCCTCAAAAGACCGCCCAAAAATGATGAAGTCGTCCAAGTAAATCAAAAAGACGTCCCATTGAAGACCTGTCAGGACCAACTCCATCAACCATTGAAAAGTGGCTGGCGCTGTCTGGAAACCTATCGGCAAACAGTTAAAATTCATTGTAAAGTGCCCTGGAAAGGGTGCTATATAAATAAGAAATAGAATAGGTACACCACTCTGTCCTATCGTCTCCACCATTGACTCACCCACCTATAAACTGGCCCGATTTCTGTCTGAGACACTGCTTCTATTCACTGGCAAGACCACCTCAGCTGTACTTAATTCAGCTCACTTGGTATCTCTAATTAAAGACATCTCACTATCTCCAGGTGATTTGCTTGTCAGTTTCGATGTAGTTTCTTTGTTTACTAAAGTTCCTGTGCCTGACACCATTGCAATCATCGAAGATTTGGTCCAACAAGGACTGAATGCTGATGTACCGGCCCTGGTGAGATACTGCCTCACCAAGAATATACTTCACCTGGAATGGTACATTCTACAAACAAGTTGAAGGTACAATCTTAATTTTGGAGCTTTCGTGACTGCAGGAATTATTCTTTGGTTTTTTCGGTAAAGTCACGTATAAAAATAAAATAATAAAATAAATAATAGCATACGACGTTTCGATTGCAACACAAGCAATCATCATCAGGTATAATAAAATAGCGACATAGAATATAACCAGAAAACTATAGACAGACATATAAGCAGACAGATATCACCAAGATACATAGAGAGAGCAACCCAGGTACAGAGAGAGGTGATCGTCTCTGTGGGGTGGCCTTAAATAGACAGAGGGGGGCGGAGGCAGAGAGAGGGAGGGGGTAGGGAAAACATTTACATGTCAATGAGTACGAAGGGAGGGGAGTAAGGTAAGCAGGCTTAGAGGGAGACAGAACACACTAAATTAAATAACCTTCGATACTTTGCTAGGTTATTTAATTTAGTGTGTTCTGTCTCCCTCTAAGCCTGCTTACCTTACTCCCCTCCCTTCGTACTCATTGACATGTAA